TTTTTTTTTTTTTTTTTTTTGTATACTGAAAGGAATGTATGCATAAAAAATGTATACAGGAAACAATGAATAAAGCATTCACTAAAGTAAATCCATCCATCTATCAAACAAACAAAAACAGACAGTGATATATTAAGATAACAAATAGCAAATCAAATTTAAAATCAACTTACCCATGAGATCCACAACAATAGAATTCCCTAAGAGAAGGGAGAAGCCAAGTAATACCCAAGGAAGATATGGAGCTTGGAAAGTCATCAGACCAAAAAAGTTCATGCGCACATAAGGGTTACGTCGGCTCCATATATACACCAACATTATGGTGAAGGCTTGCCCTAGAAAGACCAACTTGTTTACAAATAAGCCAGTTATCTGTACTTTTTTAAGGAAAAGTTTTTTTGAAAAAGGCATGGTTTAACTTTTATCATTTCCTTGATTTAGGTATGTTGCAAATAACATCAAGGTTTATGGTATCAGACTGTTTTCATTAAATATTAAATAATTACAATTTTTAAAAACAATTTCAAACAAAGGATACAGTCATTAATGTTCCTCCAAATAAAAACATGAAGAAAAAGTCTGCTGTTCTTCCTCTAAAAGAGCCCTCTTCTAACATCCGGCAGTAGCGATAGGTAAATATCATGTTAAAGAAGAAGTTAAAACCTATTGTTCCAAAGAATAGGAAGTTGGTAACTAGTCTCCAAAACTGAAATGCAAAATGAAATGACCACATAAAGGATAAATCATTTCATACAAGACAAATCTCACTATTTAAACTCAATATTGACTTCCTATTAAAATAATTCTTTGGAAAAACATCTTTGTGTTTCATTTATTCACTATGTTATGGACGTTTACATATAAACAGTGATTAAGTTAGTTCATGGTAAATTTTTCATGCATCTTACCTGGTAATTGCGGAATATTAAAGATGGATTGAAGTATAACTGGAATGGTGTTAGGATTTCTAATTGCTGGAAGGGAATTAATCAATACCATAAAGAGGCAAATATGTTCGTCTTTTTGGGACAAAAAACATTGATGAATTGCATAAAAAAAATACTTCACAGAATGAAACACTTTAATTCTACTGACATGTTGGTAGGATCTGTCCACCATAATTATGAGCAATATTCTATAAAACAAACATTAGTATCTTAAGTAGAACACAAATAAATGGTAATAATTCTAAACAATATGAATATGGTACATGTACTAGTACAGTAATAGTACATTTTACAAGTACAAGGAGGAACAAACAACTTTCATATTGTTTAGAATTATTCTAATATTCTGATAGACCAAATAATTAAACATATTCTGATAGACCAATTAATGAAACCATTAGGCTTATAACCTCTGTCAGTCTACATGACCTGCTGCGTATAAATCAAAAATACCTACATAGATGCAGTACAAACTCTGTATAAAAGAGGAATAACTAACATGAGGAGCAATTTATTCGAAAGTCAATCTACATTTAGACTTCCACATCCCACATATAGATGTCTTCAGCATTTTTATTTTAAAGGCAGTATTTCTCATTGACAAGTTTAGATATACCACTGATATAATACTGTACTGTACCTTTATGCATTTCATATTTCCTCTGACAAAAGTCATTAAGTGAGAAGTGCATACACTCCATATTGACATTGGCAGTGGGTGCTGGTATTTGGAAGGGATGGTGAAGCAAGCGTCACTTGTGACCAAGACTGGACGGAGTGAACGAATTACAGTAGAATGAGGGCGACCGAGAAAGAACGTATTCCCATAGATTTTAGATCGATCTATCCCCGTGGGGAGTCTCACTAGATTACTGTCAGATAATCCGGCTTAAATGTCCGTCCTGCCTACTACAAGCTGTAAAGGGGTAATAAACTTTCGTGCCCGCTCAGCTGACAGCTATTTAGCGTGAACCCCCAGGGAGTTAGTTCGATCTAGTTGGATCGATCTAATCTCTGGGAATGGGGTCTTACTTACCACAGCTAAAGTCGTTAGGACACAAGAAGTTGTGTATGCGCGCGTAATAACAGGCATTTGCATGTACTCCTGTTGAAAAGTTTGATACGCCATGGTGCAATATTTAACAAACGTCTGCTGAAAAAGAAACAAATATATCACAGCAGAACACGAGCTTACACGTCAGCGTTGTACGCATGCGCGTGTTGACGGAAGTTAAAGAGATCATGTCATTGTTTTCAGTCCTTAAAATGATGTCAAATGATCTTATTTCATTAGAATACTGAATATAAGTCATTTTACAAAATGTTAAGCGAAAACATACAGCCATTAGGCATACTTGAACTTAGAAACCTGCATGCACGAGAGTAAAGCCGCATTTCCGGAAGTTATTTTTATCACACTTCAACTTCCGGAGAAGCCGCATCGACAGAAAAAACAACAGAGACATGGCGTCGAGTTTTTCGTCCTCTCCGAGGGCGTATGATGAGTACGATTTTGCTGATAACGATAGCTTTGAATACGAAGATGACCGCGATTATTATGGCCAAGCTTCAGACGAAGGTAGGATTTATACACAAACATTTTTCAAAGCGGCGGGACCTTCTTAACTGACTTGTGTCCCTACCGCACCGGTTTGAAACACTTTATTGAGATAAACCTTACTTTTAAAACTTTAAAGTCTAAATATATAATCGATATTATATGTTCAGAATGGAGGACTGCTACCTTTTTGGTATCTGTATAGTGTACACCAAACTCTACCCTCTGAATCCCTGCATCTTCCATCCCATTCGGTAAACACTTGCAGTAACTTTGTAAATTGCCATTCGATATCAGAACATCATAATTCATGTCTTGATGCGTATGCAATGTAAAGTAATTATAAACCCAGCGCTTTGTACTAGGTTGCCGATGCATTTTGGTTTAAAATGATTGCATCGTAGTTTTGATAAGATTTGATACATCTGAAGGTGATGTAATTTCCTCTTGTGAGTATTAGTTAGAAAAAGAACATGTAGATTGTTTATAACCAAAATGTTATTATATGTAAATCATTTTTTGGATTTTGAATGTATTGAATTTTTAATGTTCAATTGTAACAATTCCAGACACTGAAGATGCCAGTGAAACAGATATGATGAAGAAGGAGGAAGAATACACTGAGATAAAAGAACAGTATGGAACTTAAAATTTGTTTTTGTAACTCGTAACATTCAGTTGGGTGAAGTCAACTGAATAGAATCCCCTATCTTACCATTCATGTGGGTCTTTCAGGACCCTATGCCTTTTGAGAATGTGATTGCTCTTCAATTATGTACTTTATTTCAAAACTGATTTTTTAAAATTTTTGGTATTGTCTCTTCTAGATATCATTTTAGATGACTAGACTAGTGTGTAGCTGTGGACTGTCTATGAATGTTAACTTTTCCTGTCTTTTAGAATGTACAAGGACAAGCTTGCCCAGTTAAAAAAGCAACTACAGCAGCTAGAAGAAGGAACTTTGCCAGAGTATTTAAAAAGATTGAAAAAGCTAGAACAGCAGTATAAGGAGAGAGTTAGAGTTAATGAAGTGTGGTACCAGTATCAGGTGAGAGGAACTGAAGTTGTACAGATGCTTTATTCATTTTATCATAGTAAAAAAGTTAGCAAATGCAAATGCTGCAGACATTAGCATAAAATTGTGATAGCTTAATAGCTGAAAGATTGCTAAATCAGGATCTTCAGTCAAAACAAAGATTAATCGGTAAAATTTTAAAGTAAATTATCATGGCACCTGACACATTTTTTATGTAAGCATGAACCTATAAGTTTAGCAAAGCAATGATTGAATCATTTGAAGTTTTTCTTCTGTTTATGCACTTTATTATTATTATTGGTAATAAATTTGATTGGTCATCATAAAGAGAAAAATGTATAACTTGTCAGTATAAATCATGATTGTTTTTCAGTTCTTTGTGGTATTATGTTTTTCTTAGTCTGTTTTGCTCCCTTATCAACTTTGGATTTTTTTTCTGGTATGAACCTTAAATTCTTTCTCTGATGTTGCTCATAAATTTTATATATGCTTTGATTTAACATGTTGATATTTTATTTTATACAGGCCGATCATGTAGAGAAGCTGTTTGTTGCTGAGAAAAAGGCTTCTGTGGATGAGTTTGAGGTAAGAATGTGTCTCCGGGGAGTGCAGAATTGAAAAACCATTTCACCAGTAATTAATTAGCATTGATAGGTGCACATTTCTTTTCATTGTCATGGTATTTGTTTGGGTTTGAAGAGGAAAAATTATGGATTTCTTAGATCTGTTGATGAGGCTCCACAAGGTCTGTTAGGTGTTAGATTATTTTTTGTATGGTTATGAGTTAAAGCATTTCCTTCGGTGATAATAAGAAATGGTTTAAATTTCTTTTTTACTTAAATGGAAGGTTAATGTTTAAGTATTTTACATCTTTTCAAAAACCTTTGGTACAATTTCTGTAAATGTGAGTAAGATAAAAAGTTACATAATATTATGTTTGCGCTCAGTTTCAAAAAAGGAAAGGGATAGAATGTGATGTTGTTTTTTTTTTCATCTGCAAATGATATCTCTTAGTATCAAAGATGTGTACAAACCCCTTGATTTGAAAAAATATTCTAAACCATTTCCAGTATTCTTTTCAGCAAAAGAAAGTGGAACTAAAGGAAAATCTTATAGCAGAATTAGAGGATAAGAAAAGGATGATTGAAAATGAAAAGATGACAATGGAGTTAACAGGAGGTTGGTTGAACAGTAAAAGTACATGTGGTTTCAATTTAGAGAGAAAGTTTGTCGTATATATCATAGTGAGGTTTTATCACATTTATCACATCATTATAAATGCAGCATGTGACACTTGTTTACTGTATATTGTTGATAGATCATGTTTTTCTTTGATATGCAGTTAGTAATAAGGGGACAATACTTCAGATAAAGATTTAAATAAATTTTCATCTACTACAAGAGACTATGATAGGAAAATATACAAGTTGCATTAAGTGTCTGTGCAATTGTTTGTTTTTGCAAATCATTTTCTCAGTGTCAGTTGATTTGATTTAAATAAATGCGTAGCAGGCTTATGGTATCTTGCAGACTCAATGGAAGTAAAACCAGTAACTACCAGAAAACTAAGACGTCGACCAAACGAGCCAGTCCCCATGCCAGAGAAGAGGAAGAGAAGCTCACCAAATATCCTTTTTTGTGTATATCTTAACTTTTTGAAGTAAGGAATGTGAATTTATATGACCAAATAATGATGAACCTCTTGTAATGTGTTTATTTTCATTACCTTTTTTTATTATTTATAATTATCCCATATAATTTTTGCCATCTGAAAACAATAATAACACTAACTTGTTTGTAATATTTTTACTACCACTTGAGTAGCCAAATGCTTGAATGTATAAATAGATTAATTAATTAACTGATAAATGAAAAAGAAGAATATTTTAGTGATGTTATTAAACATACAACTTTTATTTCTTAAGCAAGTTTTTCTTTAACTCGACCCACATCAGCTTAACTTTTTATTGGACGATTCTGATATCATGGACGATTTGAAGATCATCAGTAAAATCAGCGGAAAACCTCTCAGCAAGAAACAGCAGATGTACAGCAGTAGTAACTGTGACACAGCATATGAAGCCAGGATTGATGATGGGAAATTGTATTATGATAAAAGATGGTGAGTGGGTTCAGTTATAACAGTGAAGTCAAAACCTTGCAACTATAATTGGGGGTTCTTTTATTCCACCTATTTTATCTGAAGGCAAGTATTCAGGATTCCATGCTGACTACTTATTGACTCGACTTTTTCAATTTTTCCAAGCTTTTTTCCCCTTTTATTAGACTTTGTTAGGCCAAAGGAATGTGGCTCCACAACTTCATAGCTATACAACTGGTTATGTATATTGGACTATTCCACAGAATTTTTTGTGCGATTTATTTATTTATTATTTTATTACCTTTTTTGTGTGGTTATGAAAAGATGAAAAATATGTTTCTTATGCTATTGGGAATTGCTGTATTATGGCTCTATACCTTTAATTTTTAATGTCAATAAATAATGAATACAATGGATCAAACAAAAAATTTTCTTTTTTTCTTATTCTTCAGGTTCCATAAAGGTCAGCCTGTACATCTCGAATCTAAAGAATCTGGAAGAGTCAGTGGTGTTATTAGCTCTGTAGGATCACAGGAAGTGAGTTAAACTTGTCTGAACCATGAGATTCAATAAATTTTAAGTTGTAGGAACAAAGAGATATACCCCATTTAAAAAATAAAAACAGGGCAGATGATTTGGTTCTATTCTTCTTGGTTACTCAGTTTGCAAGAAATTAAAAATGTAAAACAAAGATAAATGTAAGCTTTCCTTTGGATTGAAAATGATAGAGAACACTAGCATTTTCTTGTTTTTTTACTTCTAGGTTTGGATTAGAAAAATCACAGATAACAGCAAAATCAGAGTGTATGTCTCACAACTCCAAAAAGGGAAATTCACAATAAGAAGGCGGTCAACGTAACAGAACAGCTACTTCCCTCAGCATTTATCTGACTATTTAGTGACCCTCTCGCTGCCAGTCTTTTGCAATTCATAGTAGTAGCCATAGACTGAAAACCACTGTCCATCAATTCTGTAAATTTGAAAAGTACATGTAATCACTTAAGATAATTATTGGGTATCTCATCAATGAAATGTATCTTAAAAGGTTTCTGATGGGTGATTTGTTGTTGCAGAAAACAAAATGAAAGGCTGACAATGTGGTTGAAAATCATGTGGATTTAGTGAAGAATTGTTTTTGGCATTTTCTCTGCCATTTGTTACTATTTTTAAGAAGGGGTGGTCTGCATTTGTTTTGTGGGCACACATTTCTGTTCAATTCTGGTCATATTTGTCTAAAAACATTTTCTGAGCGTTATTAAGAGTAACAAAGAAGTATTTGCAGCTCACAGAGAAGTTATAGTGATGCAAATGCGATTAAAAGAGTTATAACAGTTCAATATTTTCTGATGATGACGTTTGAAATGTCCTTAGTTCTAGTAAATTAGTTTATTGCCAAATGTATGGAAGAAGAAAGTACAGTTTTAAGAAGAATTTTATACTGAGTATTTGTACATTTCAAATGCATAGTAGTTAAGAAAGAAGTAAAATACTAATTCTTTAATTCCACACTTTTAGTGATATAAAGATTCTCTTCAGAACCTGCTGTTCAAGATGACAGATCTTAAAGGAAAATGGAACTTTCCTTTTTTTAATTTAATATTTTAACCTGACGCTGGTATTTGTACAGTGTCAATATTTGGTACACGAGCCTGTGAATATCATCATGTCATTTGTAAATTTCATCATTTGTTCATGTATAAATAAAACTTATTTGTATGCTTTATTGTAATGCTCAGTGATGTTTATATGTTTTCAGTTATATACAGGATTCTCCACATATTATAATAACCATGTAATTAAAAACAAAGTTTATTTTAACAGAAGAATTACAAAAATCAACAATAGATATAAATTAAGATTTCATTGGTGAAATCATAGATACTTTACAAAAATACTTCAACTTTTCAACAACTAGTATGGATTTCTTAAATTTTATGTTTTCAAAACTATAAAATTTATATAACTTAACTATATCCTTCTTGATGTTGAATGCTAAGGAACAAGACTTTAAACATATTTAGAACTTAAAGAGATAAAAATTGGCCAACTTTTGCAGGTATTAAAATTTGAGGCTCCCTGATATTCCACTGCAAAATCAATTCAAAAACAATTATTTAAATCCACATACAAATTGGAAAAGAAATTTTGTAAAAATAAAATTACTGATGACTGTTAAATAATCTCATGCTGGTTATAAAAATATAATCTATTTGTCAATTATTAACAATGGACATTTAAAAAGATCACCTTTTGATCCCAAATATATGAATGAAACAACAACAACCGGTTTTTGGATACTCTACTCTTCTGAAAATATTAATTTTAAACATGAAAACAAGTGCTTTGAGTACAAGTGCATACATTTAATGTATGTCTTTGGAGAATTTACCTTATAAATTGTATCATAAATTATAAACATACTCTTAACTATATGATACCAAATTTTTAACATACATATCCCTAAAAATCCCCAAAACTAACTACATCAGATCATTAAAGTGAACATTTCCTTGTGCCATCTAAAAAAAACATTGATGAAAGTTAGATCTGAGGTTCCAGAACGATCTTTGTTCAGTCTCCAAGGTAATTATCACTGGTCTAAGGAGCAAGTTTAAATTATATACACTCACCCATAAGGCAACTTTAATCTACAATTTGAAAACTGGCTGATATCATGTAAAGTAACACTTGGAATGTGCACCAGACTGCATATTCTGAATGTAAACCAAACTGAGACTGTCCTGTCTACTACATTTACTGTGTCTTTAGAAACTAATATAAGGACCAGAATTTAGCTAGTAAGGAGACAAAAGAAATGTTTTAAAGGCAACACTGTGAGGGCCTGTAGGTAATGACCTGTTTAAAAATTGCCACTTGGTGAATCTGCCTCTGACTAATCTATAGAATTATACTTTCACAAAATCATATATGCAGTCAAATCATTTTCAAATACAAAATAAACCTTTTGGGACTTATGACTTGTTTGGGACAAGTGAAAAAAACCTGAATTTGTTCAATGGCTGACATCAGTTCTGGTGGAAGCTAGCTGTCTATTGTAGTTTGAAATTGGGGGGTGATTCTGACCTTCTGATTCAGTGGGGTACCCTGGAAATAATCACAGCACATAATCACAGTAATTTCTTCAGTTGTTAATTACATAAAAATACTATGAGAAAGAAGCAGGAACCAAAATATAAAGATGTATCATTAATTACTCAGCAATGTACACATTTCAGGAAAAACACTAAACGTAATCAAGACACTGTTAGCTTATTCACTGCAATGGATTGATCAACACTTGCCATCAAATGTGGTGAATTGTGAATCCTGATATTTGTTCCAACTTGTTTGTCCAGACTGTTGCATCATGTGATACTGCGGGTTCTGTTGGTAAACCGATGGAAACTGGTTGAAAGTCACTGGAAACAGAATGGAAAATGATCCAAAGAAAGACTAATGAATATAACATTGGTTTCAATTTAAGGAAAGAGAAAACTGTGGTGTGTAACATGAGGAATATATCCTTATTCTTTTCTCTATTAATAACACATGAGGATACAGACAAAGCACCAACTTTGTGTTTGCATTTCAAAATGTTTCACAATAGCATATACTTATTATCAGCAGACTGAAATTTCCTTCATTACCTGGTGTCCTAGAGTCCAGGTCTTGCAAAAAAGATGTTGACGGGTTGGAAAAGAGACTAGGGAGAGGAGACATACCGCCTTGTATGAAAAGGAATGGAAGGTGGTTGTGAAGGTTGTCAACATAAGGTATAGACCACAATGGTCATGAAGCTAATACTTTCTGCCAGAAATTAATATTGCTTGTGAGAAGAGGAGTTCCTAGTTGGATGTACAGGTGGGGATGGGGAACATCTTTTAAAAAGCAAACATACGAAGTAAGCATTTTTATTATATGGGATACAATGTGATGGGAAAAGCAGTGGTTATTGCAACTAATGAACTAGATAATTCATCATTTTAGTGAAGTGGGAAAAAAGACATAATTTAGTTCTTAGACCTACTTACCTCTAGATGGGTTAAACATTATTTCAACTTAACATTATTTCAAATTTTTACAGCAAATTACCTAAAGCAGTTGAAAAAACTCCCAGTCCTTGATACATCTGTCCTTGGTTATACTCAGGCAGGTCTTGGCCTTGTTCTTGACCTTGATTCTGACCTTGCCCTTGTACAGGTGTAGACCTGGTCAAACCATGTGACTGGTGTGGAGAATGTGAAGAGATAATGGTGTCTACTGCACCCATGTTTTGGAGCTTAAAAACATGAAAAAATGATAATCATACCAGTATATATTAGAGGTTCAAATTCTATTTGACACTGCCTGTTAGTCGACATGAGATAGAAAAAGCCCCTGTCAGAAGAGCATAACAATAAAAGAAGCATAAAAATAATATTAGGATGGACAACACTAATCACTCACCGCAACCAATATAATAAGTAAACTTAACTCACTTTTGAAGAGCCCTGGGACTGTGGTTTCCCTGAGCTGACTAGAGAAGAAGCACCACCAGGAGTTGCATGTCCGAGAGCATCCTGTCTCTGGTAACCTAGACAAAAAGGAACATTTGTTTTCTAGCCAAAACATTTCACTAATATTTAAGGACGGTAGATGCATTTTACACTGACAGCATTCACCTCCATGATTAAATCTCTATGTATCCTTTCTTTAAGGTACAATTAAGCTAATGCTGTTAATACATCTCAATAATAAATAAATTTAAACCAGACTTATTTTCACCTGTATTTATATGAGTATTGGCAGGCATGTTGAAATCAGAAGATTCTATGTCAGAGGACTCCAGCATTTCTGTCATGGAACCAGTATGATGGGGCTCCATATATGAGGCATCTGCTGGATCTGAAATATTAACAATATAAATTTAAATACACTTTTATAAATGGACTGTAATCAAACAGAGTTTTATATATTAAACCCTACATATATTGATATATTTAAACAGTACAAGTGCTACACATTCAGAGTTTACAGAGACTTGAAATATTACCTCAGCTTGCAGATAACACACACACCTGAGTAAGTAACTATATAGCTATTTTCAATAAGTCTGCTAACATCTGTAGTCAGCAGCCATTAGTAGGAAAAGTATCTACAAATAATCCAACCTTGGGCCTTAGCATGGACCTCCTGATAACTAGGCTCAATGTTTTGTGAATGCATTTTATATTTGAAGGCCTCTTCCTTCCGTCTATTGGCAAACCAGTTATAAACTCGTACTTCTGTCACCAAGTTGTCCCCCAGTCCTGCTGATTGGGTGGGTTCAACTCCACGCTGTATACACTCAGCCCTTGAAAAAAAAAATAGCGATTACTACAGGCCCATAGCTGGAGGGGGGGGTTGAGGGGATTCAAGGAAACTGCCCTTTTTGCTGGAAAAAGGTTCACTCTTGGTAAAACTTGATCTAGGGGCCTGAAGGTTCTATGGCAAAAGGTCCACTATTTCTGAAAAAGACCCTCCCCCTTTGATAATGCTGGCTAAGCTAGGGCCTATATTAATACTATTCTAAGTAGTTCTTAAATTACTGGTAGTACTAAATATGCACAAATGTCCTAAAACATCTATTTTATCAGTAATCACAAATACTAAGCACCCACTTTTTCACCTCAAGTGCTGTTGCTCTGATCACAAGTATCTAAAAGTAACTCTAAAAAGTGCATCTCAACAGAATATTTTCTAAATCAATCTAGCTGATGAGTATGCATTATTAATCTATCTTAATTCAATGTATAAGAATAATGCAATACTCTGGTTACTAATTTTTTACATACTTATTGCACTCAGCCACAAGTTCTTCCCTCTCATCTTTTGTTGGATTTCTGTTACGACAATATGCTTGTTGCAGAATCTCCAGAGAAGCAGGGCCCCATTTGAAGCGGTTCCTTTTACTTTTTTTGCTAGGGCTACAAGCATAGTATTCTGCATCCTGCTCTTCATGATTTGATACACACTGAAATTCTGTAAAAACAGTTTTACTCTCATAAGCTTCTTTAACTAGGACCTAGTAAACAAGTTAATGGGTCCTAGTCTTTAATTAGGATAAATATAAAGGCAAATACTCCCACACCTGCTTGATCTTACCTGTGACTGGACACAACATTTAGGTAATTTCTTACTTTATGGGCATAATTTTAACAATGCTGATGGAAGATTTACAAAATTTTATTGATGTAGAACTTATGTGACATTCATTTTCTAAACTTTACTCCCAAGTGCCAGACTTAAGTGTTTAAAAGATTAAAAAGTATTTCTTTAATATAGAAATCTAAAATCGCCCATGCTGTATTCCAAGAACATAAGATAAGCATCAAATTGTATCTGCACTATGATTGTTGACCTTACTTACTTGAAGTGATTTCTTTTTTCTTGTCCTCAAACCACTGATAAAGGGCCAGCCTTTTATCAGCTTTCATGGGAGTACCTTTGTTCAAGTGCTGTGATAAATGACTTTGGTTCAATCCTGTGGCATCAACCACTTCTCGTTGTGGAATATTGTGCTGGTGCATATAATCCCTGATTTGCCTTGCTGCCTTCCAAGAGTCTCCTCTGCAGCAGAAGATTAATTAATAAATTCGGAAAAATTATTTTGATATAAAAAATCCTCAGTTCATTAAAATATGAAATAAATAAAACTTTAAAAAATGAAAAAATAAAACTAGTTTTAAAATCCCATGTTTTAAAACTATCATAAATAGAAGTGGGTCTTCCTAGAATCCCCATACAAATTTAAATTTATCAAAGCTTTTTTCTCTAGCTTTACTTATTAAAAATTTGGTAATATTACAACACAAAAGGGGGAAAACAATGTTTGTTTCAAATTCAAACACATGAAATGGATATTTTATGAATTCAGATATGATTCACTGCAGTCTTGAAAGTAATTGATAAACATATACCAAGTAATGCCTTAAGAGAACTTGTACTTTACCAGCAATTTTTTCACACCTCTAAAGATCTTAAGGTGTCTTTAGATAAAAAGATAACTATCTCTTTGTTATAAGTCACTCCACACTATCTCTGAACTTAATGAGCCACAGAGCTGATAAGAACATTTGGTGCATGGGGGCGGATCCCCAGTGTAATATGTTCACAAATTTAAAAGGAGAAAATATGAAATTGTAGTTAATGTCATTTACTTCCAGTGAAAAGCAAATAAACTGGTAAAAAATACCCACATCTCATCTAATATCTAAACTGGTAAAACATTAAACGGAAAAGCAATAAAAGCTAATCATTAACTACATTCTATCCACTGTAACACAAGTCAATCATCAACTAACGATCTCAACATAATGACGTATACATCAAATTACCCTCACTGTCGCCTGAACAAAACCCCAACGAAGTCTTCCTTACCTGAGAAGCTTTTCAGTCAAACTACCAGGTTTGGCTGACAAATTTGGATAATAGTCAGAGTCTTGCTTAATCGTCAAAGGGGGCGTGTATCCCTTGCCATCTTCATCGGCCAGCGATGTTGGGGTTGTTGCGCTTTCGTTGTAATGATGATTGTGTTTTTTGTCTTCCTTTTCCGGAGCTAATGTGCCCACTGCTTCAATCAAGTCATTTTTTTCCAATCCCGACTTCAGCAGAGCTAAAATCAACTCTTTTTGAAGCGGCGTCAACTGGCTGACCATCGCAACCTACATCACCAATGTATACCAACTGACGTTGAAAACTACCCATGGCCTTTCGTTTCAAAGTCCACAACACAGGGGTCACACTCGCGCACATGGCAGAGGCCGCCATATTTGTTTACACCGGATCACATTTTTTGGTATTAATTCGCCTTTATTTAAAGAGACATCTTGATATCAATGTATTGAATAATAAACAGTAATTCAATAAATGCTTATAAATGAGTAATGTTATTGCTGTAAGTTTCATTTTTGTTAAATCAAAATTGGACGTAAACAGTGTTTGTTTGGGCGTTACATTTCGCGGAGGCTCATACTATGACACCTGTTGGTAAATCGGCTTGGTCGTGCAAACCAAAACATTAGAAGTAGACATTTCTGGTTCTGAATGTGTAGGTTATTAATGTAATAAGGATTTTCGGCAAGTGGTCGAAGGCAATATATGATACATTGGTATTATTGCTGCCGTGTAAACATTTTATATTTATTCATGTTAGATTTTGGATTGCCTGAGTTGTAATGCGCCAGATATTTGTAAATTGTTGAAAAATAGTCGACAATAATGGCCGATACACAAGCACAAGGGATGGATTTTGGAACGGAAGGGGTCGATTCGCAGACAGTAGTCCGTTACGAGTGGTAAGTTTCTATGCCTTTAAAGAAAGTACTATTCTTTATGTACTGCAGTAGTAAGAGTACAGTAGGTATTCTTAGTGCGCCCTTCTTAGTAAGTGATTTATTACCTGTAATTAAGTTAAGTGTACAGTATATATTGATGCTAATTTCATTGCTGCCAACATTTGGTGGTATAGTCTAGCTACTTCATAAAGAGTCTTAGATATTACCCTCTAGACATAGATCAGGATATATCTGTTAATAAATTCTATCAGTAGATGACATTAAAAAGGATGAAATAATTAAATGTCTTAATAAGGAAATGGTTGCTACTCACATTGTGAAAAATACTTGAAAAAGCTTTTGTGAGCTTAATTTGTATCATTTGTATACATGTACAAAGACTGCCCAATTCTCATGAAGGATAAATGTTATCGTAGACCTTAAACGATATGTACAGTCAAGAAATTTTAGTAATACCAGTAGCTACATGAAAGAAATACATGTACCTTATTACACTCTTAATTATCTCCATAAATAAATGATTATTAATTAAGACCCTCTATTTCCAGAAAGAATTGAAAAAATAAGCCTTTTTTCCCTTTTTTGCTGATAAAATCTTAACTGTGCCTTCAAAAAGAATGTGGACATTACTAGTGGTTTTGTAGTTCTTTTCCACAGAAAAGTTGAGTACAGTTACTAGTAAACGAAAAGTATTTTGCTTAAAGACAAAGTGTGTTAACTAGACCATTTTATTTAATAAAAAAGCCTTACCTGGAACATTCATAATTGCCAAGGCATACCCTATCCAAAGCCATTGAGAAAATGAAGATCCATAAATCAGTTTTTGAGTTTTGTGTTGGAAAATCCTCACATCCAAATTTGTCAGTTTCCATCTCCATGTACGGCCTGCACAGAGCCTAATTTCTCATAAAAACTTGAAAGTTAAAAGTTACACATGAATGAAATACTATAGCTGAAGACCAGATGTTACTATTAGGCACCAAATAAGAGACACGGCATTAGGCAAGAGTGGTACTAGGAGAGGTATGAGTAAAAAATGGTAGTCACTAATTAAGCCATGCTAGAAAAGAGAGAAACCCAGAGAATGGTAAGAGATCTGAAAAGAAACACTCCAACAGTCCTTGGCAGGAAGGTGGACAGTTGGAAACTGCTCAAGAAAGGTTGAAATGAAGAATCACATGCCAGATGAGAAATCAATATGATAGGCCTAGTTTCTCTCACGTACTGACTTAACAGTTTGCAAAGAAAACTTGACCATTGAAATGGTCTGCTTAGGTCTGTGAGGTTTAGTGCACTCTTATATGTGTTTAATGTTACATTTTCTAAAATTTTTGAATATAAAGCAAAATATTATATATATATATATATATATATATATATATATATATATATATATATATATATATATGGGAAACATGTACATGTATGTGGGAAAGATCCTTCTATATTTCAAGATGGGCAAGAATCATATTGTGCAATTTTTTATGACAGAGGAACTTGTCCATGAATGAAATGTACTTGTATTACTAGTGCATATTTATGTACTTACAGAACATATTCATTAGTTGATTTGGATACCTTACTGCTAAAGATGATTTATTAACATACATTTAGCTTAAACAGGTGGTGTTTAAAAGGTTGGTTTGCATTTTTTTGTCATGTTACTAGTAATTGCATATATTTTCTATTTTACATTCAAGCCAAAAAAGGGGATTTTAGGATATCTATAGCTATATTTAATACATGTAACACATGGTTTAGAGTATGTTTTTATACTTTAATAATATGTTTATTAAGTACTGTAATAATGATATTTTACTTAAGGCCATAACCTAAAGCAATCAATGATATATATAATGCTTGTAATTGATTAAGTGGATTGCAAATATGTTCAGCAGATGTGATTCAGAACTTTTCACAATGAAAATCACATTTTTCCCGCATTGACAGTTTTATATCTTGCCACATACTGCTACCAGTATTCTACAACCAGTGTAATGATGCAGTTATATTATTATTTTGCATAAGTGACTTGTAGTGAACTGTTTAGTAATATTTGACAATAGGAAAGAGTAACATCTGTGTGGCTGGTTTGAGTGCTTTGTCTCCTGCATATTGCTTCTTTTGTGTTCAGTTCTTTGTTCTTGATTTCAATAATTTCTCTTCACTGATGCAGGTAATTAGCATATTACTGTTGTGTTCAGGTACCTTGTAGTGACTGTTTGCAAAAGTGATGAAACGATAACACATAATGCTACAATGTAGGACCAATACTTTAGGACTTAAAATTATGTCAGATCCAAAAAATTAATTTTTATAACGACAAGGTCTGACATGAAACATTAGTTTTTAGATTCAGCTATCTATTTTAAGTATTATCATTGTGTTTTTTATTTCAAAACTGTTATAACACAAAATCAATATAAATGAATATCGATATTAGTATATGAATAAGATGTATACAACTCTTCACCATTGCTTATAATATAGAATATCATTTTAGCCTATCAAATTAGAGCATCAGGCATTAAATAAACCTATAGACTTTTTGATACAGTCGTAATGTGTGCTCATTACACAAAGAAAAAAAAACAGTACCAGCTTATATACTGTATATACATGGGGACCTGGAACAACTGTTCACAGAGACCTGAAATGGACTGTTCCAAGCACCTACCACTCCTATTTGGAAGAGTCCATTGTAGCATAAAGAAGGGTTACTCTCAGGATTTATCATATGGATGAAAGCCTGATAGGGATCGACACAGAAAAGGACGACATAAGCATCCAGCAGCACTTTGTTATACAAGAAAATATCTTCATTATCTTCATATTTGTGTATATATTTACTGTGGCATGTGGACTGAGTGTCCGGCTGAAGAAATGGAGACAGCAAAGATCCAGTGCCTCTTAGCCTGGGAGCTTCATTGTTTTGCTGTTGAGCTCTGACCTCATGTCTCGCTTAGTAATAGTGTTAACCTATAGACAAGTTGGGATGAAGGCACTGTAGGTGAAGAAAATCAAAGTCTATATGCTGGATTAACTCTGCATAATATTAAGATGGGTCATCCTGCATCTGGGCATGTTAACGTTCATGTTGCTCAGAATATGGATCAAATTGGGTAAGCTCCATGTCAGGTTGCTAAACCTGAAATGAAGTGCTTTCATCTTTTGTTATTGTTCAGTAAGGTTCACATGCAGTTATCAGATGCTGTTGTGGAAGAAGTACCTGGTATCCAAACATTTAAAGCATTTTTAGTTATGCACTAGCTTGATTTTTTAGCCTTTGGAGCCAAGCTTGATTTTAATGGTTGGCCAATAAATATGCTGATATGGTATGTCAAATTATCATCGGACTCATGAAATGGCACTGCCATAACAGTGACAGGGCTTTTTCCCTTTCAAATGTATGGTTACTCTTGGCAATTAAATCATTTCAAATCCTACTCTTTTGTGTCCCTATCAATCTTCATAAATGAGATGCAAATGCTATGGAATACAGGCCTAGCTGACACAGTACAGGTACATAAAAGTAGGGGCAACTGCTCTCTATACTGAAGAAATTCCACTCAAATTGAAGCCAACAACATGATTTACTGGATCATGACAGCTCAAGTTTCTTATGTTAAATTTGCAATATGTGGCAGATAATTCACATGCCCGTGCACGGCTGTTTGTAATACTTTATGGGTGCTCATTTTCATCTCGGCCAGTGCAAAAGGTATATGTAGTAATTAATGCATGCATTTTGTTGGTATATAGGCTGACCTCTTGATGTCAACAGAAATACACTTATTTAATGAAATCAAGCCATTTGAAATTCTCGTTCTAATTAAACAGTAGTTTCAAGAGCCTATGGATGTAGACAGTTTTTATGTACAATAAATTATTATTATCACTGTTAAGGTTTAGCTCCCTGCATCTTGTAATATGATGGACACTTGCTATGCCCCAGGCAGGAGGCCTATGAAACAGATGACATATATATTCTAGATATTGATAGTGTTGCTATATCAGGAGTATGACATTCATCTTTATTACTAGTACTTTATCGCTGTGCTAATGTGGTTAATTTATTTTCATTTTCACTTGTTTCTTTGTTCAAATAACAATTATGAAATAGCTGTTGTAGATTTTCTGATTATTCTAATAGACTGTCTACAAAAATTGGTGCTTTAGTTGGATTTATCAATTATAAGAACAGTTGAGAACAAAAATTGCGAGTTATATGATTTTAAGATTCCTATTGGTGTGCTTGTAGTGACCTGTCCACATACAGATAAATACAAGGTTGATATCTCAGTGTTGATCTTACCTAATGGTCATACCTGGTATCACCTGTTCCTTGTTGTTGTAAGAGCATACCAGTGACCTTCTAAACACTGCCCCTTCACTGAGTTGGCTATCAATATATAGTGGCATTTGTTCATGAATGTTATGTTTTTTTCCTAAGGTAAAGCACAGCTGTTTCTGTAAATGTGTTTCCAATGTTTTTAAAACCTATTTCAGGTTGTGTATAGTCTTTCTGATTTAGTTGTTAAAATGGTTAAATTGTTACACTTCTGTTATTATATATATTTTTCTACTGGGGCTTTTTTTTTTCTCTTGTATCAGACTTAAGTTAGTAATCATATTCTCAAATGTTACAATAAAAACTGGTCTAAAAACAAAACAAAAAACTTGCACCACACTACTGGAGATAAAATTCTATTGCTAGTGAAAGTGTCTACTAGTATTGGACATATTAGAAGGTGCAATTTAAAAGGCAGCGGAAATTGAAATCTATGCACCATTTGTTATTGCAGTGGGATTTGTCAAATGAACAGATGTTTGATATATAATTTGTTCTTTATTATTTTCAGGGCCTACTCAATAATGGATTCTTCCAGGGTCTCCACATTCATAATTTCTATACTTCTTATAGTGTATGGAAGCTTTAGGTAGGTTTTATATTCCAATTAGAAGCTGAAGAGAAAAAATTAACTAGTGAATGAATGCATGTAACAGACTTGAAACACCAACAAGGTTTACTGGATAGAAATTATCTATTTATTCTCGATAATCCCAGTGGCAGGTGTTATCCTGGTGTTAAGTATTTGTGTGTACCTGTTAAATGGCAATGTTTTGTAATATGTCTGCTGTTGTGCTGTACTTGAAAAAGGTTCTCACTTGAATTTGGAATAGGGGTCCATTTTGATGCATGAAATTGGAATGGGGACCATTTTGATCATCATTTCCCAAAAGGTGCTTTACCTGTCAAAAATTTTATGACACCTGAGACCCAGTAGAAAACAGAATTGACTTTTTGCATGAAAAGTTGGTTCTAGGGTGAGTTTTATTAAAGGACTATTGATGTTGCAGAACTAATGTTTTAAGATAGTTTAACCCCATTTATTGAGCCAACTGTTGATACATTTTTACTTTCTTTATTAGAAATTTTTGAAACTACTTTGAAGGGTTTATATACCCTTTTATATTTTGTGGTCATTTTCCTGATATGTGGCAACGAATTGAAAATTGCTCATTATCTGGTCACTGTCCAGATAGCCATTGTAGTAAGAAGGCTTCTTAGTATCTTAAACATTGTTAAATATCATCAGCCCTAGCCAGAAGAAGCAACCCTTCATTTTAATGAAAGATAATATAAACTTTAATGTTAAATATACAACTTTGTGAGTAGACTCTGAGTTATGATTGGAGTTCTCTGGAAATATGGCTGTAGCTTTGACATCCACAAATTGGTATTCAAGTGCATGATGTGATTTCCATTTCTATGATAACCTGCCAGTGATTATGCCTCTCAGGTGAAAAATGGGAGGGTCATTGTTTTGCCATCATGCTTTCTTGAATGATGATATTGCTGTGTAGCCTTTGTCTGTAGTGCACACCTTTATGGAGGTCAGCAAGGGCAGTATATGCCTTAATTTTCCTAACAAAATTTCCTATTTATTAGTGTTCACGCGCAGGGCCCTAGGTTACTTTTTATGATTATGATAGTTTAATAAGGTAAAGGAGGAACTTATCTTTTGAATGATTTTGTTCACTTTTCAACTATATGGGGAATGCCTAACCTACAGAGGGTTATGAAGTTGGAAAGGAGGTCGACCAATTGGTAAAATAATAAACTAAATGCAACTTTTTAAAGTATATTAATTGTATACGATGGTATATGCCTGGTGTAAGTAAAAGAAAATTTGAAAAATAAGATTATTAAAATGTGTATCTCTTTTGTTATAGATCTTTAAACCTAGACCAAGAAAACCGCCAGAAACAGGAGAAAGATGGCTCATTTTCTGTAGTGAATGGTGGTGAGAACTCTAATCAAAGTAGTGAAGCAGATAATGGTAAGCAGCTACCATGCACAAATATATTTCAAACATTTAACACTAGTAGAGAACAATTAATGATTGACTTTTGTCCTGTCTTTAAAACCTTAAAGCACTGAAGCTGTGTACATTTTTCAAGCATAGGATTTATAAAATCCACATACTTTTTTCATGTGAATCAAAGGTTGGATAAATAGTAATATAGCAATTCCCAGGACTAAGGCTAGAAAAAAGTTCATTTTTCAATTGCATCTGTCATTTATCAAGATAAAACTGATGAATGAAGCCAGTTAGAGAAGATGGCTTACCTTAGCTCAGTTATGTTATTTGTTTGGGACTATCAAAGTAAAAAATCTGAAATTCTTTACTTGACATTCATTTATGTAAATTAGAATGTGGAAAACTGTTGACATACCACAATCTTAAGATAAAGGTGTCCTTGCTAGAAGCAAATAATTTATCATTACATTTTGGTCTGTAGAATAGAATTAGTCATTAAGCCATAATTATTTTTTGCAAATTTCCATATTATATTTTTGCACGTATTAAAATTTAATAACAGTGGCTTCCCTTTACACAAACACATGCTAACTTTATGGATACTTTGATGTCAATTATTGTCATTTAGACATCTGATATCATGTTTTTTTTCAGTTCAAACTATTGACAGCTGCCAAGCCATGTTCCTGCCTATTGGGGCCTCCATCTCTCTCCTCATCATGTTTCTCTTTTTTGACTCCCTGCAGATGGTGTTTGCAGTCTGCACTGCAAGTAAGTATTGAACCTACACACTACAAAAAAAGATATCTTAACAAATGAAAAAATTCTTGATTGCTCCCCCCCCCCATCCCCAGTCCCCCTTAGGATTTGTTCAGTTAAACACCCAGCTTGGGAAACAGTGTATAGAATTTCAAAGGCATGATGTGGCTGGGGTTGCAAGAAAGTAATCAAGTAATCATTTCCTGACATTAGAGTGAAAATATTATATTTTCTCTTTAAGCCATTCAGAATGCAGCTTAAAATGGTTCATATAATATACTTCATGCTGATAGATACTGATAAGACACATCAAGTGAACTTAAAGTGAACTGTGATGCTTAGCAAGTAGTTTTCTTGCTCTCTCTCTCTCTCTCTCCCTCTCTGTTTGATTATGCACATAATGTTGCATTTGTATTATAGAATTACTTGTTTTTGTATACCTACATATATCTGGACCATAATAATTATAAGAAAATAAGTAATCAGTGTATTTATAATGATAAGAAGAAGAAATATGTTTTACAACTCTTCCCCTTCGATAGAATTGCTTTTATTATTGTGACAAATAGAACAATGTTACAATACATTCACATTGGACATGTAATCAGATATGTAAAAATCCAAATGTAACTTATTACCCCGAGGCAGCTCTGTAGGCCTAGGAAATAGTCACAACAAAGTCTTAAGTGTACTATTTTTGGCTAACCCGCAACTCTCCCTTATCTAGGATGCTAGCATACCTATTAGCACTCAGATGAACTGAAACCTTCATTTGAAACAATAAATCAGATATCTTATTGCATAAAGCAGGCAAACAAACAAACAATACTAATATTGAATATGTAATGCAGGCTCTATACTAATTGACATATGTTATGAAGTATCATCCAAAGTGCATGTGTGTGCATGTATGAATGCATGTTAATGTGTACTTGATAAGCTGAGTCAGCTAGTTTCAACATCAAGATTAAAATTGCCATTGACTGTCTAAAAGTTACTTTTTATCATCAGTGAATGTATGTGTGAATACATTTTGTACACACAGTTGGCCTACATTAGTTTTCACATTTCAAAATTGGCTTTGTTCTTTTTACAAGATCAAAGACTAAATTGGATTCAATATTCTTTTGCTAAAGGTACAAAATGCAGAAATGTATTGATCTTAAATATGTTCAAATTTATGTTAAGGCATATAAGATTTTCCTTGCATTAGTGTTAAGTAAACGTAAACGATGTTAGTTACTTTTCTATAAGCCTCTGTGTATAAACCTCTCTCTATATGATTTTATGTTGAATTGCCATAGGCAGCATGTCTTATGGGACAGCTGTGTTGTGAGGCACTTAAATTTATTGTGCCTGTAAACAAGCTGCTCAATTATTGCCAAAATTATGAAAATTAGCCCATTTGCTCTCTCTATAATATAATATAATGTGGTTTTACTGCTTTCTTGGGTGGCATTCAGCACAGATGCTTCATGGACTAACTGGGCCATGGAATCGTGCTCACGTGCGCAAGCGTCTAGATTCCATGGCCCCGTATCTCGAAATAGGATTGGTTATGCCCAACATAGCAAACCTTTCTAGATTCGGAGCCCTGATCTGCCGACTTAAATATAGCTGACCCCACACAAAAGCAAGCTGCCTAATCTCCTGATGGTCTCCCTGCCTCTACATACACTATCAAGTGGATTAAATTTCAGCTCCAATGTTTAATTGTTAGACCCTTACAGCAATGGTGCATGTGGAGGCAAAGGGAGGACCATCAGTGAATGAGTGGGCATTGCTTTTAAGTGGGTCAACTATATTTATTCTGCGGATCTGTTAGTCCATGGATCTGGTAGTCCGCGGATCAACTTGTTCACTTAGAGACCATTCCCAGAGACTATTGTACTAACATTGGAACGAACTATCTCCAAGGGGATTCTCGCTTAATTGCAATTAACTTAAGCGGCTTAGATGTCTGTCATGCCTACTGAAGCTGATAGGGGGTAATTAACAATTGTTTAGCAGCTTTAGTAGGCGTCCCAGACATCTAAGCCTCTTAAGCTGAAAGCAATTTAGTGAGAAACCCCGTGGAGATGGACTAATCCTGTTAGATTGATCTAGGGATGGGAACCCAGTCTAAGAAAGGGTGTATTTGAAGTCTAGTTATGAGTTTATCTAGTAATGAGTTTATTAGGAACCAGTTCAAAAATAAACGTAGCATTGGTTAAATCAACCTGGTAACTTACATCCTGCTTTATAGCCTAAAAGTTATAATTGCTATGAATTTTGTTCTACTCTGACAAGTCATAGTCTGTTTATGGTAATGCAATTAACCAGAGCTGTCACTAGGTGGGTGAAAAACTTAATGAATGAACAACCAGCTTTAGCACAGCTTATTTTTTTATTTTTGGATAAAGACTTAAAGTTTTATAGTTCATCTTGCCCCAAGGTGAAATGAACACTGAGCTGTTACCAGTAGAAATTTTAATTAAGTAACTCTCAGTGCTTTTCCCTTGGGAAATATCTAGGCAATCCAAGAGAAAATGGCTAACTTGCCATAAAGCCCCTTGGGGGGTAATTTTATGCTCATATCATAAAACCCCACAAGGTGAGTTTTTTATTTAAAAAATCTGAACTTTCAGAGGTAAACACCTGATAGCAATGTCTCTAAGTTATCCTGCTCATCATGTTAGGATAACCTCTTAGCTGAGGGATTAAAAGGGATGGTTTAGTTGCAATCAAATTACCTTCTTTATCAAGATAGTACTATGATATTGTTAATATGCATAAAACTTATGAGCTCCAACTGTTGTTATAACTCTGTTTCATTAGTGTGACATGGGTGTTCTTTTGTAGTCAAAACATTTCCTTCTGCACCATTATGTTATAACAGAGATGATTTTAGATTTCACAGACTTAAATTTGACTGAATGAGATGTTTAGTATCCTGCCTTCATTGTAACATATCTTCAGACAGGATCATTTAATTATCCCCAGCTAACAATATCTAATAGACATGAATTTGCTGTCAAGCTTATTTAACATAGATTCATATTGCTTTGAAATATATACAAAAGCTAAGACAGGAATTAAGTATTTCAAATAAAATGTGCCCTAGTTCAATGCATTGGGAGGATGGTTTGAAGGATGGAATCATTCATATATAAAATAACTGCCCCGGGTGAGGATCGAACTCACGACCTTCAGATTACCCATGTAGGTTTGATTATGAGACTGACGCGCTGCCTACTGCGCTACCGAGGCCTCCTGGCTACTAATATCGCAAAAGAAGTAGGTCACTGTAACATATCATACAAAGCCAGATTGCTTTATATTTCTTAGCACTAATTTCTTGCAGATAATTGCAAGATTATGCAGAAGCGTGGGATTAGGAATTTTCCACTGCTCAAAATTAATTGAGGTTATGAAATAAAAGAAAAGTGGACCATCAGATCAATCAAATGTAAATGTTTCTCTTCATAAAGAATATCATTTTGTATTTTCAGTGTTGGCTACTATTGCTTTTGCATTTCTATTACTACCCATGTGCCAGTATCTCCTTCGTCCATGTTCATCGGGACAAAAGTAAGTGCATGTTTGCTGTAATGTATTATGTACTAACTTAAAGATGAGGCCTTACTTGATGGCGTTTAATAATTAGGTAATTTTTTATTTTGTGGTATTTGAAATCTAGAGCATATATAAATGAGGAAAGTGGCCCATTTACAAAATCATCTACCAACATGTGTAGCTGATATAATTCAAATTTTGTCTTCTGATTCATGCATGATAATGGATATCAGACTGTCCTGTGCTATATTTTTATTTATGACTGTTGAAACCAGTATTGTTGTTATACACTTAAGTGACCCTGGCCATTCATTTAAGTTCTGTTGGTTATTTACTTGAATCTTAAAGCATGTTTTGCCTTCACTTGAGATCAATACAATTTGAAGTGGTTCATAAGGAGTGCACTGCATTCATGATGTCTTTCCATGAAGTTCTTATTTTCAATGAAAATTGGATTAGGCCTGACTGGCAAATATTTCATCATAATCTGATATTTTACATGTATGCATTTAAAGGAACTGGTACACAATCATTCTTCTTAGTCAAATAAGATGAGGGATACTTAGCTGATATGTTTGCAGATCATCAAAGCAGCACTTAAATGAAAGGTTGCTTATAATAGAGAATGAATATTTGCAAGACATTGTTGAAAACTATTGATGCTCCTTTGAAGAAAATGCTTTATATTTCCAGTTTAAAAGGAGAAAAGTGTTTAATAGGAGTAATGTACATACAATGTACACAAATATTATTTGACATATATGAAATTAATATAAATGAGTTTGCTATTCACTGAGGTTACCGAAGTTACCAGGAGGAGGTTAACTGCAGTTTACAGTACAAGAAAAACGTGACTGAGTGAGACACTTTCCGTCTGATATCACATGGTAGTCAAGGAGCAGTAATTATCCCTTCTCACAAAGTCAAGAATATATATTTATTTTTCAACCATACCGGCAAGTACACGAGTCATGGGATTATGGTTGTAAGACCACTTTATTTCCTTGTTACAGAAAGTCATTTGGATACTGTGGCCGTTTTACAGCTGCAGAGATCTTATCATTCTGCATGTCTGTGTGTATAGTATGTACCTGGGTGCTAACAGGGCACTGGCTTTTAATGGATGGTGAGTGGAGAAAATGCTGCAGTCCTTTTGATAAGATTTTTCAAACATTCATTCAATATTTAAGCTAGATGCAAATTGATCAGGTTAACATACTAGATAAATGAATATAATAAGTACCTAACTTCATTTTATCCTAGCATCAAACGAGTGTCAAGTATAGAGTACACTAAATGTGTCAAAATGAACTTGAGTAGCTATTTTCTTAGCTGACTTCCACAATGTATGTTTTATGCACTTTTCTTCCTGGTTTGCAGCCCTAGGAATGGGATTGTGTGTAGCATTCATTGCACTAGTTCGCCTCCCAAGTTTGAAGGTTTCAACATTACTGTTACTGGGCCTCCTCTTGTATGATGTGTTTTGGGTAAGTTGAAATAGCTCATTATTTTCTTTGGTTTTGCTCACCTTTCAGGATCACAGGACTTCATTTGCTGCTCAGGGTAGCAGTTGGATTATATAGATACTATGCATATTTTATTGTGTTAAGAACTGTTAAGGAAGTTGTAAACAAACTTGAAATATTTGTAATAAATATCACAATGGAAGTGAGGAAAAATTGTAAATATGAAAACAAATGTATAAAGAACAAAAACCCATTAAGTCACAGCAAGCATGAATTTTGATTTAATTTGATTACATTAAATTAAAGTGCCTTTAAAATTTGATGTGTGTGCCTTGGATGGACTAAATACATACGCTGGATATGAGACAAAGGACCAGCAGAACTGTGGCATCTCGTTAGTGCCAGCATGTAAGGAAATAATCATGACCTCTTTGTTGTAATGAATGATCAACTATAAAACCCAGTTTTCCTTGAAGTACCAGCACACCTTTCTCTTTTGATTGGTACCCTCTTTGTAGCAGGTTATGCACCTGTCTAGTGGATTAGAAATGGTTAACCAGTGAATCTTTAAGTGGGATTGTCAAGATTCCATATTTAGTTCTGTGTGGGATTTTTTAAAACCATAAAAGGAATCTGTTTTAAATTGATGTAACAAATTAAACATACATATATATTGATTTAGTTATAAACAACATTTTGCAAATTATACATCGATAGAATAAAATGTTCTGGTCAAATTCCATCCTTTTTTTCTTAATTTTAAAACCTTGTACCTTAATAAGGCCATACACCAGGGTGGCATAATTAAGCCATGCATTTTATCTATTCAATTGACATAAAGCTATCTAGCCAGTGATCAATTCAAGAGGGATGTAAGTAGATGAGTAAAATTTTTGCTTGATAGGATATTTATGTTCAAGTATTGCTGTAATGATATGGAAGGTGTTTTGAAGCCATAGTTCCATGTGTTAATGAAGCTTTACCCTATCACTGTCCAATTTCATCTGCAGGTGTTGAAATGTTATTTAATTAAGTGGATCAAGCAGATTATCACCTGCCAGTCTTATTGTTCCTAATCTTCACCATCTTTTATTACAGTTGTAATTGGTAACTGTAATAATTTCAGCTAGTTATACTTGGAAAAGAAATATCCTATTACACTTTGGTAGTCTCCATAAAAATATCCACTACTTTATTGCTTTGGACATTTGTCATGAAAAAGTATGTTTTAAAACGTATTAAAAAAACTGATATCATATTTTAACTGGAATGTATTGTGATGACTATGCACCACAATGAAATAAGATTTGCACAGTAAAATTGTTTATGGGTTTTGATATCTGTGCACCACAATGAAATAAGATTAAATATATAAAGTTCTTTTTGTGTGTGTTGCAGGTATTCTTTTCCTCCTTCATATTCAGCACAAATGTGATGGTTAAAGTAGCAACACGACCAGCAGAAAATCCAGTAAGTATCTGCCACTAATGAGACAGGCTTGGTTTTGAGCACAAAAGATATTAAAATAGATGAATCAGTCTGATGGTGAGGAGTGAGGAAGGCTGTCATTTAGTTATCAATTCAATTAGGACTGTTGTAGTGCTTCCTGTAAATATAATTTCCATTGCTTTATTAGGCATTGTCATTATGATTTACAGGAAATGTTCAAAAAAGGCTGATATGAAATTTAAGCATTTTACATTGTTACTCAATTGAATTTTAAAGTGCATGTAGATGACTGTTAATGTAAGGCCAAAGTATAGTAATCAGTAGTTCTGCTAGAATGAGGATTACCTTTGACCATAATATATATAAAACATAACCATGTTAAGACAGGATGGTAAATCTAAGGTAAATCAGTCCGATAACTTGCACTCTAGAACTGATAACTGATTGCAGGTAAATCAACTTGATGTTATATCAGTTATATTTATAGAATATTAATCATAATTACGTTTTCGTATTTGCTTATGTTGAATAGATTTCTCTGTTGAATATGTCTTTTCAGAAAGATCTCTTGTAAAGAACGCTTTCACATTGTTTTTGGTTAAGTAGGTGTTTTATCATGTAATTGTGTTTTTGAAATTAAAGGTATATATGAACCGAGCGTCAGTGGTGCGTGGGTTCCCAGTAACACATATAACCTCTTCTATTAGTTTCTTATACGACTCAAATAAATTCACCATGTCAAGGGATAAACTGAATAAATCACTCGAACAGCCATAAAAGAGCTTTAGACTGCTCCTTTCTTTAAAATTTTGGTCAGAAATTTAACCTACTTATCTGACCTATTTTCCTGTCCCATTTACGTATAGGGTAATATTAAACAATGCCTTTTGGTAATTCTCTTAGTTATTCTATTTGCAACTATATGCTGGCATTTGGTTGGCTTTTGTGGAAAAAATTGACTTCATATGCATCTTTAAGATATTCATTTCATTCACATCAGGTCGGCGCATTTGCCAAGAAATTTCATCTAACTGGCCTGATGCGTGACGCACCAAAGCTGTCGCTTCCAGGAAAATTAGTGTTTCCCAGGCAAGTACTTATGGATGACACAAATGCCTTATTAAATGTTAGTCTAAAATCTACTTGGTACTGTTTTTGACATAAAATGTTGATTGTTAAGTTGCATTTTAACATTATATTACAGGTGTACATTTATATACATTCATTACATTTAAGGTCATGAAATTAATTATTGCATGACCTTTAATGTAAAGAGATTGTGATATTCTTGACTACATTTTCTGTTGTCTAATATTTTCATGTAAGTAACATTTACACACTCCCTTAAACATGTGATTAGAATATGATGTATTGTTATATCAGAAGTGTATTCTGTTGGTATGCAACTCGCATTACCACTATTATGAACGAAGGCTCATTTTCATCAATTTCAGCATGCACAACGAAGGTCACTTTTCCATGTTGGGCCTAGGGGATATTGTAAGTATCTACCCCTGGTTAGCATAAAGGTCACAAAGTTTTTGCGTAATACCTACGTTCCCATGCACTAGTGAATAGACTCGTCTCTTTGTGGTTCAGTACTATCTGTATTCTAATTTCTAGTTAAAATTAGTACTGCAACATTCAGCTGCTTGCATTTTATCAGAAGCTCCTTTTAAATATTTAATTTCAGTGCATATGCGAGTTTTATCTACCAAGGTTTTTATAAAGATGTGATATAAAATATACTTAATCTTGTCAGTTGCCATATCTACCTAAAAGGATGGCTTTTTTTTTTTTTTTTTTTCAATTAAATATGAACACAATGAAGGCATGTCCTATTTTGAACATAAAATGCATTTGAGTAAAGTCATTGTGGGGGCTTCTTAACTGAATAAAAGGAACATTGCTGGTTTTATGCTTACCACCATGTTTTTTGTCCAATCTCCAGGTAATGCCAGGCCTACTTTTGTGCTTTGTTATGAGATATGATGCATACAAGAGAGGACAAGTTAGCACAGCTGATACTGGCCTACCTCCACCCCCACAGTATTATCACAAGATTACCTATTTCCACTGCTCGCTCATTGGTTATTTTCTTGGTACGTTTTGGGTTATGCCAGAAGAAATTTACTTTGAGACATTTAAGTTGGAATATTCAGTTAAATAGGTAGTTAAAGTAGGTAGAATTTAAGTGTCTTATATTCATAACACATTATTTTTACCTAGGGTGGAGAAATAAGCATATGAACGAGGGACCAGTGGTTAAGATTTGAATGTAAAATACAAGTAACAGTTGGGGTGTTGAGTTTTGTGATTAATCTCATTTTAATTGTATGATTGCTTTGTGATAACAGGTTTTTGTGTCGACATACTTCAGCATCATATATGTCAACATCTTTTGAAAAAAATCTGCAGTGTTCATGTCAATTTCTTTTGAGCATGGAACATCTGTAACAACATCACAGCCCCCTATCTGACGTAGTAAAGTATTTTCTTTGTTCATCTTGCCTGTATCCTCCTTTTGCCAATGGCTATAGCCATATGAGACACATTTTCCTTTCTCTGAAAGATTAACTGCAATCATTTCATAAAAATTCAGATATTGAATTACTTAAAGAATTATTAATTGCAAGATTGTTGTCAGGACATGCTTTTCATGCATTTTCTATTAACAGGACTATTGACAGCCACCGTGTCCTCTGAAGTGTTCAGAGCTGCACAACCAGCATTGCTCTATCTAGTTCCTTTTACGTTGCTTCCACTCCTGACAATGGCTTATTTGAAGGTGAGCCTCAGCAGACGAATATGGTTTATTTAACCCATTGTGGATTTAAGCTCTGTGTCATTTATTTGCATAAACCAAGAAAAAACTTAGTATACCTTTGCTATTGGAAAATCACAATTTTCTGTAAATGTGTCATTTTGTAGAGATAAACAAAGTTGATGTATTCAGAAATCTATTAGACTTTGAATTTATGAGTTTTTCTGTAGAGAATGAAGATTCATTTTGTATTTAGATTTGGCATGTTGGTGGTATTGTACTGTTTATAGGTAATGCAATAACAACACTTAAATTTAGCTGACAGACGAGTAGAAGTTTGAAGATTTCTGCTATCTGTTTCAGGGTGATCTTCGTAGGATGTGGAGTGAGCCATTTCTCTCACCTGCCCCATCCAAGTACATGGATGTATAAACTGTGGATGCTGGGCAGTGTAGTGCCCTGGGAGCTGGATGCTTTAGTGGTGCTTATTATAGGTCATTTCATAGCCTTCATTAAGTTGTGCTAGTAAGGGGACAAGTCAGGCTTGAGAGGTAGCAAGTCAAGGCATCATGGATAGTATTACTACTAGTATCTTCTCATAGATTTGTTTAAGGTTTTATTGCTTGGCAATGGGTTCAGTGTCAAATGGCCTGCATTGGGATAATGCTGCTCACCAAAAGGATATAGTAGCAGTGCGAAGAGTTTGCTTCTGTATGTATTAGATGATGTGTCAAATATTCTAGGCCTCTGTGCTGTTGGTGATTGCTTGCTCAGAAATGTGGTTTATTCACCAAGAGGTAAAAGAAAGAACTTGCACTGTGGTTTTATTTGAATGAAGAAAAACATGGCCATGTCAGAGAAGTGACCGGCAGGGGAAATTTCCAGTGTATATAGCTCTAAACATAGATACATTCATTATACATGTGCATATATACTTGGTTAGAAATTACTTTTATTTGATATCTCCATCTCATTTTCATCAGTATCATCCATGTCTTTTATATTTTAGCAAAACATGAAATTGACAAAATAATTAAGACATATGTATAATAGAAGTGGTACATACCTGATTGATTATTTATTTTGGCATGGCACACTAGTGAAGTTTTTGTGATCAGGTAATATGAAAAATGTTAATGGTGTCTTCATTTAATAAGCATGCAAAATATGTCAACACTGCTTATTTGGAGATGGGAAAATACATAGTTTTCCTCTGAAAGGTCAAAAATTGACCAGAACTGTGGGTGCTGCAAAATCTGACTTCCCCATTTTGTTCCACTTGTATTTTAAATTCCTCTTATAGATCTTTCTCTTTTCTGATGAAAAAAGAAAAACAATTGAAATTTTAACCGTTTTATCTGACTTGAAGAGAGTGTAATTATTTTTGAGTTGGAAAGAATCCAGGCTGAGAATACTTTTATGGAATACAACTGTAGCACATAATTCAAATCTTTCAGTGACATCACAAAATGTTGGTGACATTTCAACTACCATTGCTTTTCACTCAAATTGCTCTATAGCCACAGTTTGTGTTTGTTTATTTAATTACCAATAATTGCAATATATAACTTTAGAAAAGGGACCTCTGGTTTAGATTTGGGATTCCCTTGTAAGTTTCTCTCCGTCATTCAGTCTGTATTTATGAAAGGGGTATGATTACATTAAGAAGATATGGTGCTATCAGTGGGCTCAATTGAAATGGCTTTCAAGATCGACAGCCAATAAATGTTCATTTCTCAGTAATACTCAGATCATTGACCTTTTGATTAAGTAATTTTATTGTTGTGTATACAACAATTAAAATTGATTCTTTTATTGTTGTCTGTGAATCCTTATGCATTAGTCCTTAACTACTACACTTTATAGAGAATTGGGTAATTTTGATCCATTCAGATTTCATATAGTGTAAGTGTTTAGTCGTTGGGTGCAATATTGTGAACACATTTTCTTATTGCTATGTGGATTTTATGTAACCAGTACACTTATACAAAAGTAGAATGCATGATTGATCTTTGTCAGAAATGCTCCAAGCACATAGTGGTTGCATTAAATCAGTGTTTTTAATTGTTTACATTCATTAAGTAAGATACTCTGTATGTAGGTATGATATGTGTATTCATGTACTTCAGATTGATATAATAATGAGTCTTTCATGTAAACATTAATTAAGTAGGAACTTCTTTAAATTCCGCTGCTATGTATAGAAATGACCAAAGTTGCTAGTAAAGCGCTGGATTGGTTGTAAAATCACTTCTGTGTACTTGGCAATAAACAATTTAAATTGAACAAATGTTTTTTTCCAACTTATTATCACAAGCTTGATTGTAAACGCAAAAATACAGATCCCTGTATGTTCCACAATAGATTGTCATGGTCATGATTTTGAGTAATCCTTCATTTACAGAAATTTATAGTGGCCAAGTTTTACTCGTGCAAATGATCACAATAGCCAGCAGAAATTTCTGCTGGGGTCTTTATTATACCTTAGACCACAGTGGAAGTAAAGAACGAAAGACTCAGACGTGGTGTAACTCGCGTAACCACACTTCTCGCATGAATGCGTTATAACCCACTAATAGACCCGTGGTCTAAATAAGATAGATCCCTCGTCAGCGAGGGTTATGTGACATCCACTCATGCTTCGCACTCGTGTATGCCACATAACCCTCGCTGACTCGGGGTCTATCTATTACTAATGCATACCTGTCCGTTTACCTGCATACCACCAAAGCCATAAGACAACCCCTTTTGTGACTGATTCTGAAAGCAACTGCTGTACTTGCAAACACCAGCTGCTTGTTACTTAAGGCCCCGTCACGCTTATTCGGAATCGGCAGTTATCAAGCAGAATTAGCCAGAATGAAGAATTTTCAAAATTTGCACCACATTCGGGAAGAAATTTCAAATTGACCTAAATTCTTGTAAGAATATTGTTGGAATACTCAGAATGTGCTTGAATCTGCCTGGAATGATTCCCGCACATTTCAGGTGTATTAGCTCTCAAATGCAGCTTGAATGTAGTTGGAAAACTAGGAATATAGATAACGCTGTCAGAAGGCAGTCGAAATATTTAGAAAACACTTCGAATGCCGTACGAGTGTAGTTCAATTGCTGGATGAAATAGGATTTCGGCAGCCATCAAGATGCATTTGAGTTGCATTCTGGCTCATTTGAGGCACATACAGAACATTCTAGCAAGATTTGAAGTTTCGGTTCGCAAACGCAATTAAAATGTTTCAAATGCCGTTGGAATCCCCAAAAAAATTAAGAATGCACTCATGGTGCAGTTAGAATACACTAAGAATGGCATTCGATATTTCTCTACTTGGAATGCAAGTTTTGAGCATGAGCAAAACATTCCGACCAGACACAAGAATGGGCCCATATATTTGGAATGCACTCAGAATTTTTATGATGCAATTCGAACATCCAGGAATATACAAAGAATTCTCAATCCAACTACATTCTAACTCATTCGGCGTCTAGTGTGACTAGGGTATTAAAGGTACTCTGTAAGAGACAACTGCCAATTTGCATTTTCCTGAGGGGGGTGGGGGGGGGGAGGATGTAGGGAATCCATGTTCGCTTCATATGTTGTTGGGAAATAGTTTTTTGGAATAAAATTAAGACGTCAAACACTTGCAGAGTACCTTTAAATAGACTGATACAGCAAGATTTCACTGCTAGCAGCATGAAACATACTTCTTAGTTTATTGTAAGATAACAGATTAAATTTGCTATAGTTTTGGGTAGGTATTTTACACAGATAAACTATTTAGACCAGCCATGCAGTTTTTCACAAACTTTAAGGTTGGGCTTCTTTAGGCCATGGGCAAATGGCCTGTTAACCACATCATGCCCATTATGAGGTAACCCAGCACTGAAATGTAGGATAACTTTAAATACACCATTTTGTATACCTGATTGAAAGGGTGGTTTAAAGTTCAAATGGATATGGATAAATCAATATGGAGCTTACAAAGCTCAGAAGCTAGCATTCATTAGATGAAGCTCGGGGTGCAAATTAGACTGCCTTCTGAATTTTTTGCACGTTTCCTGTCTTCTTCTTCTTCAAATTTTTAACTGTTAACCACAAGGTGACTTCACACCTGAAAGCATTCATAATCTCTTGCTTTGCTGCTCTTGCTATTACATCCACTCTCTTCTTAACTATAGCCTGAAAATAAATATGTCAAGAAAAAAATTAATAAAAAAATCAAAGATTACTTTTTTAAAGAAAATATTACAGGTAGCTTTAGCTGCATGTAGGTAGTATGCACTTTGTATGGACTGTTTTCTTGTGGAGCAACAAGTAATCTTTAAATAAGCACTGTCCTACTGGACCCACGCCCTTGATTTTCCTGCTGATCCTCACTGAATGACAAGTAATGTTTTACCTAATTGTCACACACTTTGAACTTGTCAGCAAGAGAAGTCCACCAGAGCTCAAGTCACTTAAAGCATGACCATGTTAGCAATTTACAGAAAATTGTTTATTATTATTTCTATAAAGAAAAGCATGGGCCTATATTTAATAAATAACATTTGTGACCTAGCAGAATTAAAGATTGATAATATCATAGTATGATTAAAATATATCTTTTAATGCATAGCAGTTTTGTCATACCCTCAAAAATTAATTAATGTACATAAGCTTGAAACTCACATAGTGACTGTCAGTGGAACAATAGATGGCAGCAGTTACAGCCATGGAATTGTCTGTGGGATGCACATCTATGCTTGAAACATCCTAATTGAACAAAAACTGTGAATTACTTCAATGAAACACTGAGACAGAAATAATAATGTACAATTTACAAATCACAATTTTCACAATATGCATTTTTCAACAACAGCTTTTTAAGTTAACATTAAACCTTTACAAATACACAGCAATCAAAACATTACTCACTATCACAAGTCTATATGGAACTTCATCTGGAAGGTTATCTAAACACTTCTCCTGAATAAACCGCTCCACCAGCACATTGGGTTCCATCTCAGTGACAAAACTGCTGTGGTACTCCCAGTCACCAGGATGTGCCTGAGCAAGGAGATAGTCCTACAAATATAACAGACACATGGATTTGAATGCCATTAATATGGACCGTGAACTTTGATATACTTTCATCAAAGGGATATTTTTAATATCACACATTGTCTTCAAAAACCTACAGGAACTACACTGTTCCTTATAACTGGCCTCCATGAAAATTACATGCTAAGAAAGATTCTTGTTATCAACCTAAAGTACTTTTACATATTCAGCTGCTCAATAACAGTTCATTCTCATATGCCACTATAATTATTACAACATTAACATAAAGAACCATGTTAAAAAATAATACAGACAACAAAGTAAAATCAAATATTTTTTAAAATCTGTCATATGTCTACAGTGGAATGATTCTTCTTTCTTCTTTTTGGTGAGTTTGTCTGCAAGATATATAAGGTGATAGACACAAGAACTTGTTTACATAAAAGAAACAGTTCCATTATTACTAACCATATAAAACGTCCAACTTTCTAACTTACCCTTAAAGCATCAATTCCTTGGTTATATTTGGCAGCCACATAGAAAACATGATCAAAATGAGGCCAACCAACTTTGTCTTTCACAAATATTCCAGCCACTTTTCTCAAGTACTTAAAGTATTCAATCCATTTTTTGTCAGACAGCATCAGTGCTGCCTGGCTTTTGATTTCCGACACCGATTTATCTTGGTCCTTTACAAGTGGTGCAAGGCTCTTTGATAAAGTGTTTGGTGTGTTTGTAGTGCTGCCTGTTACTTCACTCTGGTTATGATGTTCATAAGATGTTTCTACATTTTCAATGTTCTCAATTTTCTTTTCTTCCTCTAAAAAAGGTTGCTCTCCTGCAGGAGTTTGTGTTTCTTTTTCACTGTTTAGGTATGTCTGCGCTTCATAGATACTGTCCTCATCCTTTTCTTCACTATATGGTGTAACGCGGTCCTTGATAATGTTTTCATCACGCAAAATATTTGCAACTTTGTCAAACAGCATTCCCATTGCTTCATCTCGAGCAACTTTTTTCCCTTCCTTCCTTCCCAATACTTTACCATCAGAAAATACTGGAAATCCAGTCATGTCAGGTTTCTTATCTCTTTCTTTGTCCTCTATTTTCTCTTCTCTTTTATCTAGATAGTCCTCCACTTCATTCATAAGTGCATCAGGGTTTAAGTTTTTGAAATATTTGCTCACTTGATCTCTGACAGGTTTATCATGTGTTCTTGTACCTCCTACAAATCCATCTGTTAACATGCGAGCTAGCTGAAGATGGAATTTATTGTGTCTGGTTTGGTCAACCTAAAAAATTTACATTTTAAAAATTATACTTAGAAATGATAAATATAATTTTGCAAACATGAAAAGCACCCTAAAAGATAAATACCCTTTCAATAGTGCAAAAACAATGTACATAAAATTTGCACATTTATAAAGAAAGTTAACCAATAAAGAGAATGTATGTTTAAAGTGTCTGCCATACAGGTAAAAAAAATACTGCTCATACCATCCATGACCCCTTGTAATGGAGTTTAAATGCACCACAGTTTACCTTATTCAAAACCAGAATAGCTGGTTTCTCCTGATGGAGACACAGGGCATGTAGTATCGGTGGTTCTAGACGGTTTCTGTAAAGCTTGTCACTCGCATCTATCATCACCATAACTGCAGACAGATAAGTCAGAGGTCAGGTATTTAATCAGAAATTAAATATTACCAATTCATATTAAAGAGATAATAACTCTTCGTTTCGGCCAAAAAATTAATTTTCCTGGAGTAAACAACAATTTTCCCATACTTACCAATGGTTAATGAATCCATTTTTACATTCAAAGTTAGTCCCTGGTTTTTTTCTAAAAAGTTTGGTGTTTTGTTAAAATCTCTTAAGAGATTTTAACAGAGTATAGCCATCAATGGAGGTCACGTGGTCTAAAGACAAGCTCAGATATCAGAATAATAGCTATAACTGCCGTTTTTGTTGTAAAACAGAATATATTATATTATATTTCTATGAGTTATTCACAATGTTTTTAATGTGAAATATAGATCTCATACGAAGAGTTATTATCCCTTTAATATTTAAACTTTTCTTTCATAAGTGGGAATGAATTGTTCAATTACACAGGTCAGTGTAGAAAATAATTGTATGCTAATAAATAAACATCAACATCAACATATCTTAGCTGTAATGGCTAAATTTCTTGCATTGCCTGTGAAGAAAATTTTGTAAGCAAAAAGGTAGCTAAAAACTATAAAAAATACCATAATGTATAACAAACCAATCAATTAATTCAGAACTTCACTTTTACCACATGTTTCTCAATTTGCATATCTTTAAAAATAATGATAAAAAAGTTTTGAAACCATTATTTCACATGTGCTACATAACTATTTCATTTCAAATGTGCTACATAATTATTTCATTAGAAAAAAAACACTCACTTAAATCTGCATCATACAAAGCTGACTGGGGGTCACAGACAAGTGAAGTAGGTATCTTGCTCAGATATCTGCACAAACAGAGAAATTTCAATTAATCATTTTTAATATAATGGCAAACTTCAAATGCTTAAATCTATGGACCTTTCCTGACATGAAAGCAGTCTTGAAATAATGTGACTCCTGATGCAACTGTGGGAAAGATTTCAACTTTTGCAAAACATTTCAGGTTGTTTGGAAGCATTATCAGACTAAAAACGGGTTTAAGTATTGAGTGAAAAAACAGAAAGACTATTCTTTACAGTAAAAGAGGATTTTCCCTTGAACTTTTTTGCCTAATTAAGCCAAAAAGTTTGCTATACTGAAGTAGCTGTCTTGCGTATGCATGGTAGATCCACCATGATCTTGTTGATAGAATCCATTTAACATTGCATCCCTGTCATTCACTTATTTGAGCTTAATCAACATTCATATACCAATCTGTGTACTACTTTAAATATTATTGTATAATTCAAAAATGATCAATAGAAAAAAACACTAATTTGACAAATTTACAACAGCATATCTACCCTGGGTCATGAAAACAAACATGGATGTTGAACCAAAAATTGTAAAAAAAAAAATCACCTCTTTTTCCCAGTTTTCTTTCTGCCACGAAAAAATGAAACACTGAAACATAAAATATACACAAAATAACATTGCTATTTTCTCAACAAAATACAGATCGTACTTAAACTAAGACAACAGCTTACCTACTAGGTCTGATAGATATCACTAAAACCATGCTGAAAGGCCAAAATGCCATTAAAATACCTCAATGTCAGAACAAAAAAGAAGGTTTGATTACAGTTAATAGTAGCTACAAATGTAATATAATAATATTCTACTATTGAAATAACAGTAGAATATTATCCTACTATTGTTTCAATAGTAGAATATTATTATTATATTCTACTATTGAAACAATTTAACTATGAACATACTGGTACTTACTCTTTGACACCTGGAGTATCTATGAATATCTGAAAGTTCAAAACTTGATTTTTAAAAAATGCTTAAAATTTCGCATTGATTTGCTATCTAGAATTTTTTATAAACTAAATTTAAATCATAATCACTAAAATTTATCTGTTAATTTTCTCATTTTTGTCATCAAATCATTCTCCACTTTTCACTTATTTCCTTTATAACAGATGTGTGCGCACATCTGTGTCTATAAACATACCAACTGAGCATCATCCTTTGTTAAAATGGCAGAGCTATTGGCAGTGGATGTATTTATTTTTTCAGATACTGGGCAAATCTGTAAAGTACAACAGTAACAAATCCATAAAGTACAGCAGTGCAACAGTAACAAACAAGTCAGCAAACAGAAAATAACAATGGGCAAAATAGGTTACTATCAATTCTGATGCAATAATACATTATGCTTATCTTCAATAAGCATCTTTTTTATTTATTCTTTTGAAACAGGGTGAAGGGGACAATAAGAATAAGGATAATGTTGTTACTGTAATGTCACTTACATAATATATGTTTTAGAAATGAAACTTTCAACATCAGTAATAAAATAACAACAAAAAAAAAAATCAAGATCAAGCATGGGGGTCCGTAATGGCAATGAATTAAATTTGAAATTTCATGTTTCAATTGTGTGGAAAAGCTGAAATTGCCTTGAACGTAAATAAAAAGAAATCAATAATATGATTAAAATCTGTTCTAATGGAGTATTTTGTAACAGTTGAGTTGTGCATGGTTGGAAATAATTTGCCATGAAAATATCTCACTTAATTGTAGCTTTATAATTTTCTAAATCCATTATATAATCGTTATATAAACCTTACCTTCCAATTCAATAACTTATTCACCAATGTGGACTTCCCTACATTGGGTCTGCCAAGCACAGCAATTTTCAATGTTCTGGCTTCAGTGGGCTGATCTGTAGGCTGTGCAGCCAGAAGCATATGTTCAGCTAAAATAAAACTTATTTTAAGTTTTCTGACCAACTATAGAAATTGTTGATCTTGCATTACAAATGAACATTATTTCTAATCACAGAAACATAAATTTAATTCTATTAATTTTATTATTTATAATAAACAATTTTATTATTACAGTTAAACTGATATCCTTAAAAACGCATTCGCTCAGGCATACTGGTATCTATTTTTTACAAGTTTTACAAGTTCTCACCAATTTCTTTGTACAACTTCAACCTGTTGCTATGAATCTAATAAACATATTACAATGACCATATACAGCAATAATAATAATAATTATTATTATTATTATTATTGTTATTATTATTATTAATATTATTATTATTATTATTATTATTATTATTATTATACCAACCTATATTTCTTCCAATCCTTTTTAGAGGAGTGACAACAGGAAGTCTATTTTGGTCTTGTATGATCAACTTTTTGTCAGTTTCCTCTGCTGATTTATTTGAACTCTTTTGTTTTGCTTGAGTATTCACTGTTCTGATGTTGAGTGTTTGGTACACACATGGTGGTCTTCTCTCTGATTCAAAAATAACATTGAAAATACCTATAATTAACTGCTTACTTGTCATATCCTTTATGCTGATAATTCATCTAGAAAAGGGTCAATTAGTTATGCGGATTTACTTATTATAGAGCATGAACTGTGGCATTCACTTTAACAGAACGTTAAAATATTTTTGAAAAATGAACGAAAATGCAACGTTTCCTGGTAAAGTGGTGTATTTAGTGAGCCAAGGCATAAATTAAACAAACAACCAAACTAAACGACATGATACACTTCATTTCTTACCTTTGAATTTAGGGACTTGCTTTGAAAACAGTTCTTGTTTTGTAATAAATTTTAATAATAAAAAATTGTTTGTTGCACGCACGTTGGACATGGAAGCTGCCATTTTGTGTTCACTTGTAACACACTTACGTTAAAACAGAGAACGTGAATGTACTTTTTGTGATAGTTTTGGGTCGTATTAAAGATTAATACTTTTTAGCTGATTTCACGTATTTGGCAGTTTATTCAACTGGAAATGAATTAAAATAAGTGTGCAGTTTTAATAATTGATGTCTCATCTTGGATAGTTTTCAAAATAGCATGCGTCTTCTCTAACACAATCTGACTGTGTTCATTCAGCTTGGGCATTGTGAGGCCCTTTTAATGCTCCCTTAGTGCATGCAGTTACTTCCAAAGAGTTGATCAAATGATAATAATAATAAATGTCAACTCACCATGGACAAATGTATTATTTCCATCAACCCGTTTATTGTTTTGAAAAAATAAAGTACAGCAATTAAAGCTGTCAAATGTACAGACAAAAAGCAGAAAATAATGATGCACCAAATGGGTTATTTTGTCAATTTTTGATGCAGTAATACATTATGCTTAACAGCAAAGTAAACACCAATGCACAACACAGATGTCAGGAATATAGATTTAAATAAGGCTTCAGACCTGTGAAAGTTCAAATTCACACACTGTAAATGCCAGCATGAGCAAAATGAAAATTTCAGAAAAAAAAAATTGCATAAATTCAAAAGAATAATCCAATCAAGCTGGCTTTCCAATTTGAGCCATATGACAATCCTAAGTTACCAAACAAGTTACAAAATTATAAGTAACACAGTTTTCCTTCCATAGCAGTTGTGGTGGTAGCACACAAAATGTTTTTTTATATTTAAAAAATCAAAAAAAAATCAAAAACAAAAAAGCTCTCTGAGAGTGCAGACCTTCACCAAGAACTTAACACGTATAAACTGTGGCAGGTGAGAGCATATCAACTCCTCAACTTTGGTGATTTTTGGTACAAGGTCACTGGCATGAGTTGTTTTAAAAATGTCTAGACCCAGATGATCCAGATCGCCACCAAACCTTGATCAATTTTAAGTTTATTCATTTCTGGCCTTTTCTTAAAGTTTCAAAATCCATTACTTTCTTAGTAAGGCAAGTGACAAACAAATAGACACCCAGAGGTGAAAACATAGCCTCCTGGACAGAGGTAAATAATTTCCACAAATATCTGTAATTCTTGAAATAAGTAAACCAATACTTTAATAATCACTTACAGCCAAGCAGTTCCTGAAATTTATTCCTTTTTAAACTGTATGTCAAATTATTCATGGAAGTATTTTCTTACTTCCCAATGTATTCAACTGTTATGTGACAGTATCACAAAAGCCACTTAGGTGTGTGTTGTAGCTATAAATAAGATTTGGTTTGACACTCAACCATTACAAACTGGCCTAAAACTATGGAGACTAATTACTGATAAGATAATCCAAAACATAAACTTTTGCTAATCCAGCATATTTGCACAGTGATTTGAGCACTAGGCAAATAACATTACATTATGCCTTAGTGATCAATTCACTTAATCAATTAAACAAACATACTATTAGCATACACTTGCACTCAACCCTACATCACCAAAAGGTCTTTTCAGTTAAAAGTACTCCAGCAAAATATCTAGGACATTTACTTCTTTCCAACAAAATATCACAAGAAAATAAAACAAAATAAATCAAAAAAATAAAATAAAAAACAATAAAATAAAACTGACAATACTGGTATATTGAAGAATAAGAATAATTTCCCCCAAACAAAGTCAACTTCAATAAAATGTAACTACCAATTATAAACAATGATGCCAAATTGAGAGTTACAGACACTTAAATAATGAAACTGTTACAATATTTTTGATCAAATGATACATTTACTGTATGCGTTGTACAATAAATTCTGATGACTAAAACACAAACTTGGACTTGAACACATCAAATTTATATGAGGGTCCTACATAACAACTGACCTATTATCACAGACCATTAGAACAATGCACACTTCATCTCTACATAAAATAAACAGATATATTTGGCACCAAGGTGAAGTTATTCTGTTCTTTTTCTTCGTGATCAGAGCATGTCATGAAATGTACCTGATCAATACATGTTTACGTACACTGCCAAATCTTGCAAAAAAAGAAAAAAAATTGAGATTCAAAGTTAACTTTTGAGATTGCTTCATAGAAAATACTGGAAGTTAAGATGCAAGTCTGGAACTATTCCAAAAGTGTAAGGTGAAATTCAGAATGGATGATCATCGGATCTACTGATCCGCAGATTAAATATGGCAGACCCTATATGAAAGCAAGACCGTTTAATTCCGTAATGGTCCTTCTGCCTCCCACGCACGTTGTTCATGCAGGGGCACAGTAATTAAAACTACCTGTCGAATGGAGTCAAGATTTAATTATTGTGCCCCAATTATGACGCATGTGGGAGGTGGAGACACCATTACGGGATTAAGCGGTCTAGCTATTATGTAGGGTCAGCGGACCAGTAGATCTGAGGATCATCTGTTCTAAATGCAACCTAAGAAGCTCCTTGTACTAACTCTGATGTCCACCAAATCTTTTCCCAAGATAATTTCTACAGTTACCAATAAGGACTTTCAAATGCAATTTGGTAACACGATTTGAATTATCAGCCAATATGACAGTTTTCATTCGCTAGTCATTTTTGTACACATATATTTTTTAACCTAAAACAATCCTCGGTTATATAGTAATGAATTGTCATTGGTTCTGCTGATGAAAACGGTTTGCACTGCATGATTGGGGCTCCATCTTCATCCACACTGCCTGTAAAATGTAAAATTGTACAACTGAAATAAGGCAGAAGAAAAAAATCTTAGCATTCATCTACTTTCTGTTATATCAGAAAACTTTTTAATTTTTTCCTATTCAATGCCAAGTCTTGTATTTGCTGGATCATTCTCATGTTATTCATAGATCATAAGATGTAAGTAAAATCACATAGGCACTGCACCATAGTGCATGTAGGTCTTATGTTACATAGCAAATAATCAAATTCTTAACTTGAATATTTCTTTGAAAAATCTTACAAGTCACAACACAAACCAATGGAAGTCCAAAATAGAAAGCTGCCAGTACACCAGAAAACCAGGCATGGAGTTGCATTGATGTAAAAATCAAACAAATATCTAAAAATATTTTTGTACCAAAAGTATACTTAATTTCCAAACAGCAGGGTACACTGCACATGGGACAAACATATCAATTTCCTAAAAAATTGCCATATTTCTTCATAATCATTATGCATGCAGCAAAAGTAGAGTCTTACCATTCAACGTCCATATATTCTTGGTAAATCTTTTATAAATCCCAAGCTGATGTGCTGATGTATGGTGTGTGGAAATGTAAGTAACACAAGGACTGCCCGCAGTGCTGGAAAAAAGGGCAAGGAAGGAAACTGAAAACACATTATTACGTGCTTTATGGTTATCAAAACATTTTCACAGCAAAAATAATTAATTAATTAGCTCAAATAATTAATTACTTTTCTCACTATGAGATGCTTTCTGGTTTCCTTCAAAAAGTTAGAGGAAATTTAAGTAAAAGTACTATCTCAGAACAAAGTGACAGTTAGGTGAAATACAGACTCAGAACTTACTGCTTTGATTTCATGTACACGACTGCATCCTTGATAAGTGCAAACAGCATTGCAATACTATGCTCAGATGACCCATGTTCCTGAAACTTGTGAGTTAAAATAAATAAAAAGTACACCTGACAAATTCACAAATTCATTGCTTTA